ATATTATTTAAAAATCTAAAATCATAGTTACTAACGTGTAGTACACTGGTTCCCAAATATACCCTGAGAATAATATACTGGTATTATTGTTTTGGTGCAAAGTGTGCATCAGTACTGTACAGAGTGCAGTCTTTGCAAAAGTTACGTAGAAATTTCGATGTAGCCTGAACAACTATTTATTAGGGTGCAGAGCTTAAAAAAGTTCGTATCATGGCAGCATGCTTCTACCAGTGTTGTAGCCCCACGGGACCAACTAAATTATCATACCCATACAACACTGGTTTATATATTACATGCTGCATGAATGCATTTAAGTATTCCGCTGCAATTAATATTATTTAATGAATCTGGTAGAACAGTTTCATGTTGTAGCTAATATCATATTTATAGACCACAATCGATTATAAATGATGTAGCAGAGCAAACTAAATTGCACCGCATGATCAGTTGAACAGCTTGAGCCTGACATATACGAGTAAATATGTACAACATACGTGCATTACAATAAATCGTGGTGTCGTGCATACAGTAGATCACTACAATATACAGTATTCATGCCATAAATAATACGTGTACATGCAGTAAGCAACAGTATAATAATCAGATAAAGTCATATGCTTTCAGTATAATATACTCAGTGTAAAGTGATGGAGAGTGGTAGAAATGTAAAAGTATAAGTACGTAAACATTACGCGAAGTATCACGAAACGAGGGGTTCGACTAGTATGTAATGGTATAATAACGGTACACTATACAGTAATAATAATAATAGTTATAATTAATAGCTATACTCTGGTCTCGCGATGATTTAAGGCTGAACCGCTGAAGTGACCATATGGAAATGATTGAAGATTGTATAAAGTAAAAATTATATATATATAAATAAGAATACTGTGTACACATAATTTGTTCGTGTTAAATTGACGATGAATGGGTAGTAGATGTCGTGGCCCCCAATTTTATCCTCTATATTTCTAACTCCTTCACCGTTTACAGACGAACGACTGCAATATATTGTACAATATTAATTACTGCACGTCTATTTCAATTAAATATTAATTAATTATTCCTATATTGCCCCGTGTTTACTTACTACTAATTTATACAGTATAATAATTAACATCTATATATATACAATATATATATATATTCTCATGTATATATGTCATATATATAATTCTATACGAGCATAGTTCCATACTGGTACAGTATAACAGGATACGCATGCAGTAAGTATAAGATATACTTTACTGTACTTCGTATACTATATATATACGTATACGTATATAAATTACAAAGATAATTTTATGATCATATCATTTGGATTCTACTGAAGTTATGATCGATACTCAACCTAGAGATTTGTTTATATCGAATGCATCACTATCAATTTCTATATGCATTGCATGAGACAGTCGAACGTTACTTTTATATCACTATATTCTAATTATAGCTAAAACGAAGCCAAAGCATACCGCGGTTGCTAATATCTTTAAGAAAAAAATGAACTATACCATGTACTGTATTGTATTATACCGAATCGTGCGGTACACTGTACGAGTGTACGTCGACTAGTTACTCGATTCTGCACAATGCAGTCAGTGAACTCAAAGTTTCTGTCAAGTTCGTCAATCTTATTTGCTGCGCGTGTACGTCTCCAGCTAATAATGCAGTAAATCAGAATAAAAGATAGATTGCTGATATAGTAATGGTATAAAAATAAGAGATTTAATAACTTACTCTATGCTTACCTCAATATTAATATAAATAACAGAAGTGACTTTGAGAGCTGGTGCTTAAAATTGTAGCAATAACCTAGTACACCCTGCATTAATACCCATAAAATAACAACTGGAAAAGCTCGTTTACTGTACAGTACTGGACTACAATCTCTCGAGCGCCGTCGTTTTGTACAGTACTGTACAGTACTGTACTGTACAGTCTGTAGAGACCCTTTAGAGTACTGTAGAGCTGTACTGTACACTGTACTGTGGCATGGGCGTAAATCTTACGCATACAGTAGGCCGTATACTCTACGCAGTCCTGTAATACAGTAGATCATCTGTGAACTTTGATGGCAACCGCAACTTCCACCAGTGCACTCTGGTTGACCGATTGAGGGTGTACTGTATTCTATTGTACTCGACTGGGATTGAAGGAACAACTTGTCAAACCGGTTAAGCTAAACTTCACCCTTAAACAATACAGTATTAACAATAGCAGGGCTGGGGCTACCAAAGAGAAAAGATCATGTTATGATCTCCATGCAGAACCATCTTCATGTTAATATCATATTTGATTAAAATTAGAATTGATTATATATCAGTAGTAGTAGTAGTCATGTACATTATACATGTACAGAAGGTGTTGCAGGAAATGTTGCACTAGGTTTTATCTTTTCTTTCAGTTCTGTACTACAGTATTTTGAAAGTAGAGACCCTCACACTGCATAGTCAGGTATACTGGACATACTGTACTGTAGACATTGGGCAGTCAGTAAAGTCGGATTGACACTTGACTCCGAGACAATATGTCTATTACATATACTGTACACAAGCAGCTAGTGTAAATTGTTAAAATGAGACAGTATATGAGCGTATAATAATTAAGAATGACTGAGGAAAAAAGT